TGTGTGTGTGTGTGTGTGTGTGTGTGTGTGTGTGTGTGTGTGTGTGTGTGTGTGTAAATCAAATTGGGGCCACAGAAAAGAGTCAAGGCCAAGGGGTGTTCGAGCCTTATTCCTGGGGACTGTGCCGGTAGAGTGCTGCGCAGTGGCCAGGCAGGCGCGGGGTGAGCGGAGGAAGCGGTCGCTCCCCGCACAGAGCCCCTGACCCACCTCTGGGAACCCTCCTTGGGATCAGTGGTCTGGCCAGGAGAAGGGCTGGGGCAGGGAGAAGCCAGCATCTTCCCAAGAAAGGGAGGCTAGTAGAAAAAGGAAAGGCAGCCTGCAGGCAAGGAAGCAGCAGAATGGCCAGAAGTGGAAGGGGGTGGAGAGAGGGCGGATGGGGGTCAGTAGGACAGACATGGCGGGAGGATGCGGTGGGGGACAGTCTCCAGGGCTGCCTACCTTGGCTCTTCGGGGCTTGGGGTTGGGGTTCCCAGGAGGAGACTTGACGTTGCACATGGGGCCCTGGCCGCTGATAGGACTCTTCCGGCGTAGGATGTGTGCCCCAGGCCCCCCAGCAGAATTAGGGGTGCCTCCCTCCAGGGGCTGGATGTGGAGTTCAGTCCCCCGATACTGCAGCACCCCTAAGAGGGCTCCCCCGTCCCAGTGCAGAGAAGCCACTGACTCCGGATCTCCGTTGATGGTGCCAGTGAGGTAGGTGCCGGGCTCTGCCCCGCCCAGCAGCTCTGGAGCCCGGCCCAGGTACTGCACCGTCAACCCCTCGACCCGCACGCCAGGGTCCTGCTCCAGCTCTAGCAGCAGCGTCTCCCCAAAGGCAGGCAGGCGGTACAACAGCCTGGCCGGGGCGCCCAAACCAGGCAGGATGCTGCCGTTGAGCTTCTCTGGAAACACGATCTCCTCCTCCCGGGGGAGGGGACTGGCCGGCCGGGCTGAGGGCAGGAGGGACACCAGCAGCAGCAGAAACAGCCGCACCAGCCCAGAGATGGGCACAGTGGGCAGCAGAGGGCGGGTCTGCCCTCGCCACAGCCAGCAGCTCGCCGAGCCCCTCTCAGGGTGCCTGTCCGGGCGGGACATGGCCCTGGCGCTGCAGCTGGGAGGGACTGAGGCCGACGAGGCACCAAATTCTCCCCGCCTAGGCTTTGGAGCGCTCCTCTCTATAGCCTGGGGGCTCAGGCTCTTGCCGATCAGAGGCAGAGTTTTCAGAGGGGCTCGGGACCTTCAGAGGAGATGACGAAAACTTGGCCCTTAGGCTTAGGAGCGGTGCCTAGTGGTCTGGCTTCTCCGCACTCGCCTTCCACAGCCTCCTCGCCTGGATCCTTGTCCTTCCCAGTCTGTCTTCTGAAGCTTCTCTGGCCTCCCCCTCTGAACTCCCTAAGACTCTGGCTTCTCCTGTCTCTGCCTCCTTCCTCTGTGCCTTTGTCTCTGTCTCTCCTCCGCCCTCTCCCGAGTCTAAGTGCCTGTGGCCCTCCGTGGGGGTTCTTCCCAGCCTCGCACCCCGCCAGCTCTTTTAAGCATGCCGAGCCTCTGTGATTGGCTGAGCTATAAGCCATTCAGTCAAGAGCTCTGTTGGTAGCACTCAGATGGGTGTCTCATTGCTTCCCAAAAATCCTAGATTTTGTTTTCCTTTTAAAAAAAAAAATGGGACTTGCCCAGGGGAGGGGAATCTCTCGCAGCCGGATGGATCCTAGGCACTGGGCCAGCTGATGACATAGCCTTTCCTCCAACTCCGCTCTCAGCTGTCTCTTTCCCTTTTTGGTGGGACAAAGCCCCAGGAGGGGTAGGAAGTCAGAAAAAGGGCCTGGCCGGCAGGCACGGAAAAAACCATGGTCCCGGGAGAATTGTTGCTCCCACTGTCTAACCTGGCATGGTTTCCCTTTTCTCAGAGCTCCCTCATGCTGCCCTCTGCCCCTAAAGGCTGGTTTCCAGGGCTGAGGCAATTGAGCTGTTGGGAAAGAGGGTGGGGAACAGGTAAGGAAGCATCAGGTGGGCAGAACAAAGAAAGGAGGTGGCTTGACACGGCTCAGGTTGGGACCCAGCAGCTGGAGACAGCATAGGAGACAGCAATGGGGAGTTCAGTGGCCGAAGGCAGGATGGGCCCTGTGGAATGGAACATGTGGGGCAGTCAGAGGCTGAGGCAGCAGGGGTCAACGACTGTGTGTCCCCTCTCTCCTTAGGCTCCCCTTCCTGAGTTACCACAACTGGCCATCTCCAAGGCCCCGAACAGCCCTTCTGCCTCTATTCCCCCCAGGGGTTCCCCCTCCCCACTTCCTGACTCCCCATTTCCCTGGCCCAGCTCCCAGCAGCTTCCCTCGGGCTCTTGGCCCAGCCTCTGCCCACTTCCAACTGCCCTAAACCCTCCCCCAGCCTCGGGTCAGCCAGCCCCGGGCACAGAAAAGGCTTGCTCCTCGGGAACCCTGGGTCAGTCCAGCGCAGGGAATCCCCACTGGCCCCACCTTGTCTGAGAACCGGATTGTTCCTGGAATATCTAGTAATCTTTTATTTCTCATTCCTCGTGGGACATGGGGAGGGAAGAGGTAGCATTGTGGTACAGGGAAATGAGGGCACTGTAAGGAACAGGAACCCACTGCCTGGGGAGGAAGGGGCAGGGTCAAGGGAAAGGAAGCCAACCAACTGTCTTGGTTCTGGACTGGAAGAGAACTCAGCAGAGGTCCTTGGGGTGGACTCTCAAGGCAAGGAAGTAAGGGGCACACAAGTGGGGGTGATTTCTGCTCACCCCTGCTCTGGCCCTTTGTGTCCCCAGGATATCCCCAGGAAGGAGAGTGCAGTCAGCAGTCCCTTTCCTTTCCCAGAGGTGGACCACCTGCCGCTGCCCCCATTCCTCTCTTCCCTCTCCGCCCTGTCACCTCCTGTCCCCCACCATCATATCCTCTAGAGTCCTTCCTTTGCCCCTCCCTTCCTGCTCAGGTCACTAATACCTGCCCCGTGCCCATCACTTCCTGAAACACCCCCCACCCTCTTGTGACTGCCAAGATCCCCCTCTTGACCACATGCCCCAACCCTGGTCCTAAGAGGAGGGGGTTGGGGCTGCAGGAGTCAGACAAAGGCTGGGAGACCAGAGGGGCAGGGGCAGGAGGAGCTGTCACCAGGGGACTCTTACTGCCATTTCCACCCCCCATCTGAGATGAGGACAAAGGGGGTGACTAAGCAGCGAGGGACAAAGGGTCTCAGAGTCCCAGCAGCAGTGCGAGTGGGGGTGTTGGCAGCAGGGAGAAGGCACAAAAGCTACAGTGTCCCAGGCAGTCCCCCAGTAGCCCTCACCCCAGTCCCAGCTCAAGTTGCACGCTGGGCCAAGCAGCCTAGACTCTACCCTGACTTCTACCAGGGTGGATTAGGGCAAATGAAGGCAGTCCTCCCCATTATCCTCCTCCACTATCACATCTGCTGGGTTCCAACTATAGAGGGGGAAATGGTCTAGGGAAAGTGGGGGGAGTGCGGGGGGACAGGAAGACAGCCTCTGCTGGCTCTGTAGGGGCTGTCCACTCTACCCAGGTTCCAGTCGGTTCCGCAGCCAGGGATATGGCCCCACCCTTTGGGACGGTTCCCATTAGGTCAACTGCTAGGCTGGATGGAAGTCTGGCTCTCTCCTCTTTATCCACAGCTGAGAATTCTGTCTCTGCCACTCTCAGTCCGTCTGCCCCACCCTGCTGCGCTGCTGGTGGGCTGTGTCCCAGGGACCCGGCCTGGGGGAGATGTGCAAGGCCTCTTTCCAGGCTGGATGGGAGGGACGCAAACGCAGCGGGTGGCCCAGCTCGGGCTGGGCTTGCGGGCAGACGGAGAGAACAGGAACTAGCTTCCAGGGCTGGAAAACTGTCTCTTCCACACAGAATTGGGATTGGGATCGTACTTCTTGGTGGTATTGCTCTTCTATGCCGTTAGCTAGGACTGAGGCAGGGTCGGAAAGACATGAGGGAGAAAGAGAGTGACTTAGGATGGAAGTAGTAAGTGACGTATCTCTAAGGGTGCTTCCTGGGTCTGCGACTCGGTGGGTTCTGGAAGCCTGGCAGATATCAGGGTCACCCACAGGGGGCTGCCCCGCTTCCTCGCGGGTGAGTTGGCTCCTGCACATGCCAGCAGCCCCTTCCAATGCTGGTGGCCTTGGCGTCCCACTCTTTTTTCGTTTTGGTTCGGCGGGAGCTCTCAGACCCGCCCGCATCCACTTGGATCGCTTTTCTCTAACCCGTTTAAACCATCTGGAAATTAGCTGGCTCTCCTACGCCGAGTCTTTTGGATGCAGGGGTGGGGAGGTAATTGGCAACCCCAGAAGGGCGGGGTTCGGACTCGAACCGGGAGCGAGAGCGGCCTGCGGCTGAGCGGGCAGCGCGGGGCTCCCGCAGACGGCCTGGCGGGACGGCGCCAAAGCCGGGCTGCCCCTGGCGGAAGCGGCGCGCTTCCCCGGCTCCCGCCGGCGAGGGTCAGCGCGGAGCCGGGGCCGAGCGGAACTCGGCCAACCGTTATTTAGGCGAAAGCGAAGCCGAGGGGCAGAACCCGGATGTGGTCCGGGTCGCAGTCGGCAACCTCGCCAGCTTCCAAGAGGGCGGCTGCGGTGCGGCAATAGGTGCGAAGCGCCCCCGGAGGGGCGCAGGAGGCACTTCCGCCCGGCTCTCCTTCCCGCAGGCTGCGGCGGCTAAGATGGCGGCGCTGAGGGCGCTGTGCGGCCTGCGGGGCGCTGCGGCCCCCGTGCTGCGGCCCGGGGCTGGCGGCCGCGTGCCGACGCAGCCCAGCAGGTGAGACCTAGGCTGACCCTCCCCGCGCTGGCCCAGGGTTGGGGTTTCTCGAGTTCGGGGACCCCGCGGGCCCTGTGACACCCGTCCCCGGACAGAATGACCCAGGCCTGTGACCCCGCGCCCGGGCCCGCGCCCTCGGGCTCCGGGGTGCAGTGGCTTCCGCACCGGCCGAGGGAGGAAAGAGGGTCTCGAGCTCGTTCTGCGCGGGGTGAAAACAGCTGGTGGGGAGACCCCCAACCCCTCACCGTTGGTGATAGTGCCCTGCTGCTTCTCCCAAACCCTGGCATGGGCGGGCTGCGACTGGTGAAAAGTCTCTTTACGCACTTTAGGGGGTTTAGGAAAACCCTCGCGATGGCTTTAGTGGGGGGACACAAACGAAGACCCCCAGGGCTGACCCCAGTGTATCGCTTTAGTCAAACGAGCTGAGCCGGAGGGCCGGCAGGCACCCCACCCCCTTCCGTCTCTCTCTCCCTCTCCCCGCCCCCTCCGTCTTTTCTTGATCCGGTGACCTTGAATAAACACCTTTCTCGCATTCCTATCCACCAGAACGGAAATAGGAATCCGATGGGAATTTCGAGGAGCTAGAAGCCCCAGCCTTGCATGCACAGGGGTGATGGGCGAAGTGATTCTGGGAATAAGTGGTTAGCAGGAATGCAGTGTCTGGGGTCCCGGCTGGTTCTGCCAGAGCTTCGCTAGTTCTGTGTTGGGCACCTGGCATGGAAGAATTCAGCACACCCTTCCCGGGGCCCTCCTGAGAGTGAAGGGGAACAGAGGAACCCAGCACTGGTCAGGCGCTTTGCCTAGGAGCTGTCTTTCACTCCCCAGAGGTTCTCGGCAATGGCAGCCAGATGTGGACTGGGCAGAGCAGCTTGGGAGAGCTGTCATGTACCCCACCAAGGAGACGGCCCACTGGAAGCCTCCACCTTGGAATGGTGAGTGCCTAGGGCCCCTTGTCCCACCCTGCCCCAAGCGGGCATCTCAGCGCTTTTGAGCTCTCTTGTCTTTAGGCAGGTTGGAACCCCATCCTTTTTGCTTTTTTTCATTAGGCAATTTAACAAGCATAATGATGGTGATAACTAGGTATTTGTCCAGGAGAGAAGGGAAGGAAGAACATTCCAGGGGGAAAAGAAAGACTAGGCCACAGCCAGCCCTCAAAGGCCCCTACTAAATTTATATCTTTAGCTTTAGTTTTTTTCAGAGGTTGAGTATTTCCATCTCCCTTACTTGGACAAGGTGGTTTTCCCACTGGCACCTAGATGGAACCTTCCTGAATACAAAACAGTTTTCCCCACCCACACCAGCTCTTCTTTGTGACTTTTCGACTTTAAGTAGCGGCACCTTCATTGCCCTAATCTCTCAGGACTGAAACTTTTTAGTCATCTTTGGCTCTTTTCCCCGCACTCCATGTCTGTGTCCAGTAAGCCACCAAACCATGCAGACTCTTTTCATGTTTTACCTCGGCTCCTCTCTTCCTTTCTCACTCAGATTTATTTTGTATTAAATCTTGATTATTTCAGGAGTCCCTCCCCTGGGCTCCTGCCACCGATCTAGTCCTCTTCCAGCTCTCCAGTACAGTGTCATACTGTCATCTTCCCCGAACATCATTTTACCACGCCATTCATGCTCTTCCTCAAAAACCTTAAAAGGCTCATCCAGTTACTTTTCAATAATTTAACAATAGCTGCATGCCCACTATGTGCTAAGTGGTTTTGTATGCATTATATCTCATAGTCTTTACAACAGCCC